CCCGTGCGGCTCTGCAGCCCGGCCGTGCGGGGCTCCCGCAGCTCTGGTCATAACTAAAATAATTCAGCACGTGAAAATTCAATGGCTCTCACCTCCCCGCTCTCTCTGGGCACTGGTTTGTTTGGGACAGAATTTCCCAAAGTGCTCTCATCCAGCCCTGCTCTCTGAGGACAGCCTTACCTGTACCATGGTGCGTTCAGTGGCGTTTTGCATCGAGGCTTTGCCTTTCTAATACCGGCGTTTTGAACAACGCAGTTTCTGTTCGACAACAGGTTTTGCATGTGCTGGTCCCGCTGTGAGCCCTGGCAACAGGAAACAAAGTGTGGGGATCTAGTAAGCGCAGTAAAATTCAGAGACCTTCCAGAAAAAGGGAACTTGGAAAAGGAGAGGGTTAGAATAGTATGGGCCTGCTGGATGTGTTCAGTTTTAATGGGCAGCCTATATATATAGGCTGAAAAAACCAGTGAACACGTGTTTTTACATAGTAATTTCCAAGGTATACAAATCAAAGTGACCTCATTAAAGCAGACAGTGACACTAAAGATGGCTACTGATGCAACAAATTGAAGAGTTGAGTCCTGCCTGAATTTCTTCAGGTACGGAAGAGAAAAAACTGCAGATGTCCAAATAAAAACCACGGAGATTAATCTCTCCTGTAAAGCCATAACTTTCAGCTGAGGGCAGTAAATACAAGTGTTTGGGGGGCTTTTGCCTTGCATACAGCATTTGAGAGAAAAAAAGGGACGAGAGAATGTTGACCAAAAGGAGTGAGTTAGGACAGACAGACGAGAGGAAAAATAAAAGTGTTAGAGAAGGAAAAGAAAAAATGGTAGTATTTACAAAGGGGAAAAGTAATGATGACCTTTCTTTTGTCTTTTGCTATGTTAAAACACATTTTTTAAGCATGAGAAATCTCAAAGCTACTTTAACAATTCCAGGAACTCACAGGTGGAAAGAGTAAAGTGATCGGCTGGAATTAAACTGAGAGAGAGAGATGGGCGGATCCCGTGCTTACAAGGGCGGAGGAACTTCATAGAGCAGAAGGTAGGACTAATTATGTTGGTTTTTTTCTTCTCAAGTCTTTGACTTTGTGAATAATGGATATTTATTGGCAAAACCTTACAAGTAACCTTAGTATTCTGTAGCTGCAGGGTTAAGTGATCCTTTTCTGATGATAACTTTTATGAGAGCCAGGTCTGGCATATGCTTTAATGTACCTTCAGTGAATTTTGTGTATTTTGAAGTATTTTATGGCTGACAGAATTTAACTGTTTAGACTTAGTTTTACTTATTACCGTTTTCTGAAATTTCTGCTTCATTATCCCATTTCCCCCTGAATATTTCCAATATCTTGTTCAAAATGTTCCATATAGAGTCATTCCTTTATATAAAATCATAATAAGAAGAGAAATTAATAGATTATGTGAATTTAAGTCCACTGTAGTTTTTACAGGGTTATTACTTTAAATGCTTTTTTTGCTTTAAGCTGTTGCCATCTCACTAGACGTGCATGGTTAGTACAAGAACCTGTTGAATCTGTTTAGAGTTGTGAGTAATGAGCTTTCGGGGGGGGTTGGTATTTGCTTTTGGTTATTTTTCCACTGTATAATTGTATTTTATGTGGGGGTTATTTCTTTTGGGGAAAATATAGGCCAGAATGTTCTCAGGTTGTGTAAGCATCTTTGTTTTCATTCATGTACATTATGGCATGGTTTTGTGTCATGTGTTTCATCACATACATAAAATAGATTTTTTTTTTTTCCTTGATCTAAGGAAAAATCTCCAGGGTACTTAAAATCTCAAGTATAACAACTCTAAATAAAATATAAATAGCAGAAGATACGTGTCCTACTACCAAAGGTGAATTAATATGTTGAAAATCTCCTCTCACAAAATGGTGTTACTTGGTTTGTCGAAACCTTGTGCCATATATTGGAACACTCACCAGAAGACTTAACAATTTCTAGCAGCATGTAAATAAGGCTCTGTAATTAGCAGTCCTTGTGTATTGTTCAGCCTTTTGTGTGATGAGTGGTAAAGGGACTCTAGTAGGTTTTCTCAGGATTGAAGATAATGGTTCAAAGTGTACATTCAAAGATAATGTACAAAGTGAATATGAAAAAGAAAATTCATTCTGATCTTAGCAGATGATCAGCTTATGCTTGGCATCTTAGATGCACTTTAATGTTTTCTGGTCACTGTGGCTTTCACATACTAGCACCAATCCCAAATTATAATACCTCACACACAATCCCCCCAACAGGAAATTCTGCCACTTGTGTCTGTGCTTCCATAACCTCTACTTCATTTCAGTGCCTCTATACTAGCTTTTCTTAGGGTGTCCCTAAATTTAATTTTGATAGAACAAAACCTATGTAATTCCCAGTACAGAATGTGTTACTGCTTTCTGTGGAGCTAAAACAATGCCTGGTACATCATTTATAAGGACTCAGCCCTGATCTCATCTAGATAGGCAAGCATTGCTTGTGCTTGTGCTCCTTGTCACATTCACTTAGCAGCTGATTTTACAGGGTTCAGTACCCAGCAATAGGGGCTGGGATATCTTGTGTCAAAATCAGGTCAAGGGACTTGATCAGCTACAGTTCATTTCCAAAGTGGGGACTGATGTGGGGCATTATGTTCCAATAAAACTGGGAGTAAAAACTGAAATTTCAGCTGTTAATAACGCATGAAATACAATTAAAGACAATTATTTGTATGGAATGGTCACTATTTTAATAGCTGACATTCGTGAGACTCTGTGCTGTGTTGACATTTGAACATACACTGCATTTTAGAACATCAGACAATGTGAAATGTGATGCTGCAGCTGTATTCTTTTGGCAGTAATTCCATCATAAGGACTTCTAGCATTATTCTACATTTTCCCCCCTTTGCCTTAATCTTACTCAGCCTCTGATTCTAACATTATAGTTAAAATAATACTTATATTTTGCCATGCTGTTTTTTTATTTCTTTGTACTTATCATAAGAAATTATGACTGTCTTAAGCTTGGTTCAGTAAACATATCTCCAGTGTCTTTAGATGATTCTCTTTATTACCAGATTTGTTGCAGTACTGTGTTTTCTCTTATTTTTTACACACACCTTGCCCTCCACACTCTTCAGGTAGATCATATTTCTGGTTTGTAACACATCACTGACATCACTAGCCTTGTCAGAAATTTGGGAATTATAAATTGTCATAATCATAGATTGTTGGTGACTTACAGCAAAGTTTTATTGAATTTGAGAAATATTTTAAACAGGTATAGACAACAGGCCAAGGCATTAAGTATTCTTCTCAGTACTCTACAATGTCCTAGACACCCCTAGGCCCCCACTGCCCCCCACTTGTGCAGTGTCCTGCCCTGTCCCTTTTCCAGTACATCTTGCTGCTGAATTTTCCATGTGTTTGCACTGGGCACCAGTTGTGTGAGCATGAGACAGCCAGGTCTGCTGGGCACTTCTATCTGCTAAGTGATTTCTTTCTAAACTTACAGATGGCTAATATTTAGAAACCATCCAGGTTCTTCTGCTTTTCTGAAGGTTAAAAGAAGGTTGCAGCTATCGGCTGAGCCCCAAGCTAGCTGATTTAGAAACATCTTGTGTAGCTCTCCATAGCAATCTTTTTTGATTGAGATACGTGGCTTCACGCTGAGGTAATCTGCAGGGGAAGGAGAGTTTGTAGTAATGAGCTCTCCTTCCCCTGCTGATTATTATGTCCAATCCACAGGCAACTCTGCTGTATGTGGCTGCATAAAACATTTTAAAAGATAAGACTGATCAACACCTTTTTATGGTCATAAGCCCTCAACCAGGGTTCATGCCCTCTGAAATGCTGGAAACTTCTAAAAAATTAAATTGCACTCTTGCTATAAAGGGAGCAGGTACCTTAATTCTCTAATTGATGCTGTCTGTCTAGCTTTGTAATTATTTGGGGTTTTAATCTGTTTTCAGATGCAAGGTGTTACTGCAAATTTTAAAAAATCCTAAGGAGCTCTTTCTAATAGATAAGTAATAGATTGTTTGCACTACTAAACTAAAATATTAATGACTTCCGTTGTTTCCTTTGTAAAATCTACTTTTTATGACAGTTACAATGCTTGGGAGTTCTTCCATAAATTCTGCTATGTTTGGCTAAGTACCTTTTAGTTTCATCTAATCAGGAGACACTTTAAGAAAGAAGAGAAAATGAATTGCCTCACCATTTTGAATTAACCACAAAAGATACACCTGACAAGATCTGTAAGAATAAGAATTCATATACAGAAGCAATTGCATTTTCTGACTGGTTCTGTATGTTCTTTTATGACTAAAACTTTACTTTTTGACTATTTATAAAACACTAATCAAAATGGAAAATGCAGTTTTCCTCTGAATTATCTTCTTCTCTGAGCTATCTTCCGTGAGAGAAGTGCGTCCACATCAGGGGTCAGTTCAGTTCTCTTTCTTCTTGTCTTTTTGGTGGGAAAGTTTTTTTACTTGTGTTTTGGGGGCTTTTGAGGTAACTTTTGTTTGGTTGATGTGGAATATTAGTGTCTGTATAGTCTGTTTTAGAGCAGGTTCCATTAAATGATTAGTTATATTACTGGGAAGAAAATTATGAAAGAATTCAGGGAAAATGTTGTGCCTAGCTGATACAGGTTGTTTTTCTGGTTTTTTTGTCTAAAAATTTTTGCAATAAAGGGGAAACTTAAAATATGCATATAGATGTCTGCATAGAGTTGCTGTGCATGTTTATGATTGTGATGATTTGAAAAAATGTATAAAAGTCAAATATAGAACTGTTTGGTTTGATACGTGATGATTAAAACTGGTTCTAGCATTCTAAAGTTTAGCCTATGAAAAATTGAACATTTTTAATTTATATGTTCATTGATGAAAATGCAGATGTAAGTCTGTGAAATTAGTAAGTTGGTCATATACAGAACTCAGAATCAACAAGTCTCCTGCTATGAGTCTGGTCAGAAGGTGTTGCCTCCTCTAGAAGTGTCTTTACTTTCTTGTTAACATCAACATACATGAGGGATGGATCTGTATAAGTAAATATGCAATAATAATCCTCTGTGGCATTTAAACATCTGGCATACGAATTTAAAGTGTGAATAGAAATTACTAGAGTTAAAACTAAATACTGTTAAATCTGTGCAAAGCCTGAAAATAACAGTTCTGGATATAAATATTTAAACTTTCTTGAAGTCTGATGTATCAATTTTGGCAGTGCTGAAGACAGTAGAGCCTCCAGTGTTGTTACTGCCTGTGAAAATGGCACAGGGCAAGTGCAGTGTAATAAAGTCTTGCAACTTTAGATTCCCACATATAAATTATTTCTATGCTGAGTGCTTAAAATCGAAATTCATGACAGTTTTTAACCTCAGGAACTATGGAATCATGTTGATGAGAAAGAGCAGGACT